CGTGGTGGTCGTGGTGGTGGTGGGGTAATGACCTTGGAGGGAAGGGACACAAAAGGAACTACCCAGAGATTGGGGTCTTGAAGGACAGGTATTTGGCTGGAAAGAGGGGAGGTGGAGGCCAAAGAGGGGGTGCCTGGCATGGAGATGGTGGAGGGATTGTGACTCCTGACAATGACACAGTCTAGGGCATAACCTGGAGTGTGGTGGCTTAGAGAAAACTGAGGGGGAGGCTCACTAGGGAGGGATGTCAGGGGACTCAGAGCAGAGGATGGAGGCGTCCTCTGTGTGGTATGAAAGTGGCCAGTGGTCAGGACAGGGATAGGATGGAAGCGGGTAACAGTGACCGGGAACTACAAGTCACAGGAGACCTGGGGCTGGTAGTGACCCCAACAATGAAGAGAAGAGGTTGAGTCGTCTGGCAACATGGGAGTCCGGAGTGGGTGTTTTGGGAGGAGGGAGAATGATCTGGCCACTAGGAACCAGGCAGAGACTCAGACCACAGCCGGGGCAGCCGTGTCCTGGGTTGCCATTGGGAACGGTGTTGTTGACAGAGTGAATTGGAGGCTGAAAGGGGACAAGGTGTGTACAGGGCTCTGGACAGCGGTGTCTGCCAGTGAGTTCCCCCATGTGACTTATTTTCTATTTATTTTTTCTCATTCTTTTATTAAGGTATTACATGTGTACATACCTTACCAATCCCACCCCACCCCCATTCCCATTCATGCCCTCCCTCCCCAGAGTTTTTCGTCCATTGGTTATGCTTATAAGCATACATACAAGCGACTTAAATCTGTTTTCCTTTGTGGTGAGGTGTTAGCAAGTTTTCCAGTTTTCACAGAAGTGTTGTTTTCTGATCGTCTAAACAGGTCCTTTGTAGGACTTAAAGCTGAATTTCCAGTCATCTGAAACCAAGCAGACACTGTCGGACTACGGAGGAAGGAAGCCTGATGGAAACGAATATTTAAGAAGTGCCTACTGAGGCCACGCCCTGATATTTAAGAAGTGCCTACTGAGGCCAAGCCCTGCACTATGTATTTCTCAGTGAGCTATATTAATTCATTTTGTTCCTGCATTGTGTGTGTGTGTGTGTGTGTGTGTGTGTGTGTGTGTGTGTGTGTGTGTATGTAACACTTGCTAAATGCTAGGGATTCAACAATAAACTTAGAGATTCTGCCTTAGAGGAAGTAATGGTTAAATGAGAGAAACAGTAAGCAAGCAGAAAGGAAAGCGCAGTGTGGCCTGTGCTGATGGTGAATAACTGCTGGTTACTCACCGCACAGCCGGTGCCTGTGAAGGTCTCTCAGCTCCTTTAACTGCAGCTCTTCTCGGGCGTCGCATGGACCCTTTCAGAGTAACGCTGTGTCCCACCACCTCAGGCCTCGGGGGCTCAGGACAACACGCTTACTGTTTCCTTTCCTGTTTCAGGCTGGTGCCAGCTGGGCGTGGGGACAGCCCGAGTGTTTGAGGGGTTCAGGCCACTCCCCCGTCCCAGAACCCCTGGGTGGCATGTCCTCGCGACAGGCTGGGAGGGGAAGCTGGCAAGCCGCTGCACATTTCCAGCCTCAATTCGGGTCAAATCCATGGTCATTGCAGGGGCCTCCTCTGAGGGGAGGTACCGCAGAGTCAATGGCAGAGGGCAAGGGTGCGTGGAGAGTGAGAAGGTGAGAACACTGAGTCTAGCAACCACCCCCAACTTCCGGTGAGGACACTTAAAGGACGTAAGCACCTGCCCAGGGTCCGAAAGCTAGGCACCTTTACCTCCGCCTTAATCACAGTCCTCGCCGCTTCCAGCATTTACACAGAGTGCTTGGGAGCACGTCGGAGGGGTGGGTGGCTCACCAGCTGTGGGGGGGGAGAGGTTCAAGGAAGACTCTGAGGGCAGGTAGGACCTGGGGCTGATCTGAGTAATATTGGCCAGACGGAGTTTCTATTTGGTTTAGCAGCAAAGAGGCCATTGGTACTGGTGGGAGTGGTTTCGCTGGAGACTGAGAGCAGAAACAGATGGTGGTAGGTGAAGGGGTGCATACGAGGCGAAGGAAGGGAAACAACTTCCAGAAGCTTGGTCGATATGGGTAGAAAAAAGACGGCAGTAGGACTGGAATAGGATAGTACATGGTATTTATTTTCTTCGAAGACCTGAATGCTTGCTGCTAACCTGCAAGTTAGCAGAAAGGCCCGCTTGTTGGATGTAGAAATGGCCTCTAAAATGTCCATTGTGCCCTGGCTGGATGTGCAGTGGGTTAGTGTTGTGTCCCAATACGCCAAGATTATGGGTTCAACCCCTTGTCAGGGCGCATTCAAGAGTCAACCAATGAATGCATGAATAAGTGGGACAATAAACTGATGTGTCTCTCTCCCTTCCTTTTTCTCTCTAAAAATATATATATATATATATATATATATATATATATATATATATATATATATATCCATCACATTCTTGTACCTTGGCACAGATGGACTCCACTGGACTGTAGGGGGTGAGGAAGAGAAGAGTTGGGTATGACTCAAGAAGAGGGAGAGAGGACAACTCAATGACCGTGTGTGCCATGGCAGACGCACGTGGTCCGGCTCGCTGTCCGTCAGAGAGCTTGCAGAACCGAATTAATACATTTATTTAACTGGGATTTAGGGAGTGAGGTACCATACTTATCACAAGCAGGTCTGAAGAGACTTTGGGGGTACCAATGGATTTAAAGGAAATGTTCGCAAACCTTGCTCCTACCTTGAATACACGAAGCGTCTGTGGGAGCCTCAGCCATGGGGCGTGTCAGGGAATTATAACCCGCGGAGGTGGTTACCAACAAGCATAGGACATTTTCTTTTTTACCCTTTTGTTTTCTTGAAAATAATGCCTGTGACTCTAGTTACCACCAAAGCAAGCCAATCAGCAACGGATCGATATTCCAAAGAAGAGGGCATGGAGCTCACATTTTTAAGCATTTGTAGGCAGTGTTGCAGGGCTAGCTTTCCCCACAAAATACTCAAGGTGGAGACCAGATGGCCTCAACCTTCAACTTGGCTTGTTAGCACTGCCGTGGATGGCAGCCCAGCTTATTTTTTTCCATCAATCCATGGGGTTTCAATTATTCATGATTTCCTGCTGAACTGGACGCGGTTTCGCTGGTCCTGTAGGGCCATCTGGGCCGAGAGCAGGACCAGCTGTCCCATGTGGGTGGCAGAGCGGATGCAGCAGGAGGGCAGGGAGCCGCACTGTCACAGGCTGGGGAGGTGGCCTGGGGCCCGGGGAGTCTGAGGGGGTGCCCGGGACCTTCCAGGGCTTCTGAAAGGGGCTTTCACCCCCAGAATGATCCATCTGAACCTGTGGTACTTCCATCCGTCCTGACGGGGTTAAGGGGACCAGATCAAAGACAACTCCCACCGTGCAGGCCTGGCAGAGGGACAGAGAAGGGAGAGGGGCTGCCTGCTGCTCCCAAAGGGAAGGGAGCCAGGGCAGCACTGGCTTCCTCAAGCTCTCGTTACCGTCTCTTCGCTTATTTATCTTTTGTTTATTTTAGATCCTTTTTGTGAGTTTGAGCCAAACTGACGGCATATGCTGGGAAGCAAGGTCTCAAGCGCTCCAGGTCTTTGCTGCTGAGACGGTCTAATCCACTGACCGTTTGCAGGTCTGGACTCTGGGCTCAGACCCGTGAAGGGGGCAAGAGAACAGACCAACCCTTTATTAGTTCACAGAACTCCGATTCTTTATTCATCACAGCTTGCTCACAATGACATACAGGAAAGAGCACTAATGAGGAGTAAATATGCAGGCAGCAACCTTCGGGAGTTGGGAGTTGGGGAGAAACGACTTCAAAACTGTGACCGGTACCTACGCAGGGGTCTGGTGATTCTCGGCTGGCACAGGGCCCTGCCAACCCTTCACTGCGTCAGCCCCGCAGATGGAGTGAGATGTAGCTTTTTAACAGGCAACATCGCTGCACACTGGGAAGAAAGACCAGCTTGTGTGAAAGTCCACAGTGTTTCTGACTGTGTGTGTGTGTGTGTGTGTGTGTGTGTGTGTGTATCTCAACGCAACGACCAGCTCACAGTTTCCAAGTGAAAACTATTCAGTAGCATCATGTACTTGTACTATAGGTAAGAGCTTAAAAGGAACATCGTCCATCATGGCATCCACAAATAAGCCACCTGACACGTCAATTAATTCATTCCACCAACAGAACTTAAAGGAGAGAACTAAGCCCACTTCATGAAAAGCGATATCACGGCTGCCGGAACCATTTAACACGCTGCGCTTTAAAGGGTCATTTTTTGTTGTTGTTGCTGTTGCTTCCACCCAGATAGATCTCAGGCCTGTCTTCTCATCCATCCCTTTCTAAAACCGAAGCACCCGGCAGCCCACCATCCAGTAGAAGTGAATGTCAGTGCTATGATTGGGGGTTGTTCCTAGCCTGGCTTTGCTGTTTCTAGGCAGTCAGTAGGCTATGAATGAACAAATGTAGAGCTAGGAGTGGAGTCATAACACCTGTGGTCTAGGGATGGGCTCAGTCAAGCTCAGGGATGACAGAGCGGTCTAGGTCATTAGGCAGTGGTGGATCTCTAGCACCGTAGGCTGTCTACTGACCTCGCTTTTCTGTTGGAATGAGAGAGGGAGGGAAGGTAGCCAGACGTGGGGAGCTTCGGAAAGAACAGACCCAGCGGTTTCATTTGCGTGGAAAGACACAACATCGAAAGCCTGTTACAGGACATGTAAGGTTATGAAATAACTTGCATAATGCAATACTTGTATTTTTTAACAAAAATGTAAGTATTTACAAAATAAGAACCAAGGTATTTTTTTTTTTAAACATCAAGCAAAACATTCTGCAAAGAGACCGCATTGACTTTTTTTTTTTATTTTTGATTCTGTTTCTGTGTGTTTTTTTAAATAGTGAGTTCTTTTTAAACCATGTCACACATTTCTCATACTGATATCGCAAGATCCCATAAGATATAGGCAGGGGGACTTCCTAGTGGCGGGCCGTGCCATACCCTCGGTCGCCTCAGCCGGACAGCTCCACCTGCAGCTCCTTGTTCCTGCGCACCTCCGCGGCGTGCCTCTCCTGCAAGACACCAGGGGACAAGCTGTGTCACGGAGCCCGCGGTCTGCTCCACGCAGAACCGGGAGGTGGCGGGAGGGCCCACCCGCTCCTTTGCATGCCTGTGGGTGACTGGAAGTAACCTGGTATGACATCTACCCTCAGGACATGTTCTCATTTCCCAAGAAAGGAACACATGGAACCCAAGACATGTCACAAAGCAGAAGCTCTTAGGAGACTTGTGGCATCTTAAAAAAAACAACCACCATTGTATTCAACCGAGACTATGACCAACAGAGAATGTTAACTATTATGGCCACTGTATAAATCCAGTGACCACTGCTCAGGATTCCTGATGTATCAGGAGGGGAACTTTCTGCAAGTCGAATTGAGCATCCTGGTGAGGAGAGGAGTGTGCCTGTTTCTAGCAATGCCACGTAGGATTTCTTAAGGCCTAGGATGTGAGGTAAAGGTGGAGTCACAATGATCCTGATTGGAACACAGTGGTTCTCCGCTGTCCACGGTACCAGAACCTGTCAGCAGATATCTCACCAGTTATGTGGGAAAGTGGGGGTTGAGGGTACATGGAGAAAGGTTCAAGGTCATGGGTGTAAATTTTAGCCAATGGAGCTTTGCGCTCCCTTGCATCTCAGTCAAGCACTCACTATGGAACCACGTGCAGCAGGCTGGTTTCTGGTGCCTCCTCCAAATGCTGGGTGAAATGGTTGTGAGAGTGTGAAGGGACTGGGCTTACACAGGAAGTTAAATCTCAATGTTAGGGTTTGACTGAGGCACCCAGTGGCTGTCCTGGCTCCTGCTCAGGTCACCCTAAATGTCACACACCCTCAGAGCCTCACATGCCCTTCCCAGCACAGCTTCCGAGCATTCCTTAGAGTTCAGTGCCCGTGAAACTCTCCATGGAAGTCAGTGTATATATTTTAGGTTTTATGTCTGATTTCCTTTGGTTCTGGCCTGATATGTAGTCAGAGAATGGGAGTGAAGAAACAAAGAATCACTAGAATGTCAGGCTGAGACTACCCAATTCTTAAATGAAATGGGCCAACTCTAACAGACGACACAAAGCTTCCTAAGCAATACTCAGAAAACAGGGGGCTGCAAGTGTCCAAACTCTCACTCAGTGTTCTGGTGACAGGGACAGTCCCACATCTCCCTGCGTCTCCAGTGCCTACCATGCGATAGCACCCAGGGCAGGCGGGCAGAGTGGCTGCTCAGAAAGGACTGAGGCAGCCTATCCCAAAGGCCCTCTCTCACAATGCTTAATCTGAGTTTTGAAAAAGGATAGCTATACCATCCATTTTGGAAGGAAGGTTTTGAGGGGTGGTGATAGTGATGGTGGTAGTGGTGGTGGTGGTGGTGTTGGTGCTGGTAGTAATTATGGTGGTGTTGGTAATTATGGTGATGGTGGTAATGGTGGTGGTGGTCATAATAGTAGTGGTGGTGGTTGTGGTGGTGGTTGTGGTGGTGGGTGGTGATGGTGGTGGGGGTGATGGTGGTGGTGGTGATGGTGGTGGTAGTGGTAGTGGTGATGTGATGGTGGTGGTTGTGGTGGTGGTGGGGGTGATGGTGGTGGTTGTGGTGGTGGTGGGGGTGATGGTGGTGGTGATGGTGGTAATGGTGGTGATGATGGTGATGGTGATGATGATGATGATGGTTGTGGGGGTAATAGTGGTGGTGATGGTCATGGCGATGGTCATGGCCCTGGCTGTGGGTGGCACAGAGCCTACAGAAGGGCAAGAAAGAACATTTTGGGGAGGCTCTGCAGCGCCACTCATCCTGACTGGGGGGGACCGAGTGCACATTTGATGGAGGGAAAGGCACCAGGAATGGACGGGAGGAATGAACACCCCTTGGCTCCCCCTCACTTGGGCTCCATGCAGTGTTACCACAGCCGAGCTTTCCACGCAGAGGCTCCTAAGTGGAGAGAACAGGTTCCCACCATTGGTGAATGCTCTGTCCTTTTCTGACAAATATACTTTTCCAACTTAATACTGATGTGTTTAACATTACACATTAATTAGTGGTTAAACTAAAATTAAGCATTATGTATTATATATGTATGAAGTACTGTGTGGTTCTAATTTAATATTTCCAACAGGTTGGCTCTGAAGGTTAGTACATCAGTCTTTCCTACATTGGAAAAGAGTGAATTAGCTTCCCTTAACCATGCCCCTGGAAGTTTGGCACAATTCCAGCCTCCCGATAGGCCCAAGGCCCAGCCCATGTTACAGCCCCACTAGGTCTGTCTATCCTGAGGCCTGAGCAGGGCGAGAGCTGTGCTTGCATGCGCAGGCTCTGACCCGGACTCTGGTGCCCGATTTACAGTTCGCCCAGCTGTGTCTGAGGAATGCGCCTGCTCAGGACCTGAGAGGATTACCTTCTCTTGCAGACGTTCAATGATGGCGGCCAGGTTAGCCTCACGGTTTTCCTTAATCTGTTCCATCTTCAGGATCAGCTTCTCCTCGGCCATTTTGCTGAAGTTGTTGTTTTCCTCCAGCGCCTTCTGCAGGACTTCCCGCTCATGCTCTCGCTTCTCCGCCAGCTGTTTCAGCACCTGGGCCTCCTGAGACTGGGGAGAGAAACACGTCCTCTGAGAGAAGGAGTGGCCCAGCAAAGAAGCAGCATGTCTGGCCAGAGCACGGCTGGCCCCTGGGCCCTCCCCTCCATGCCTCAGGGCTTCCTACAGGCGGGGAGCTGGGAGCTGTCATTAGCTGGATTTCAGATGTGAGTTTTCTGGAGAGGCTGTCTTAGAGAAAACTCATAACCCTCACTGAGGAGTTCGTGTTTCTGTTTTTTAATGAGTTGCTGCTGTGCATTTATGTGACAGGGGATGCTGCAGTTTTTTAATGAGTTGCTGCTGTGCATTTATGTGACTGGGTAGCAGCATCTACTGAAGCAGAGGACCATAAGTAGAATTGGAGCAAGTTCGGTCTTTTTTCTGCCTCATTCTTATAGATCAGCTGTAGGCTGAGGGTTGCAATGAACGTCCCAGTTTCGCCAATCTAACCACCACATTTACTTTCTGGTTTAATTCCATGTTCCCCTTCCCCTCCCTGACCCCCCCTTTTGTTTCCTCATGACAAGTTAGCCTTGGAGACTTGTCAGTAGTGCAAACTTAATGTTTTCGTGGCCGCCAACAACAGGAAGCCCTTGTGCTGACCTCTCTGTACCATTCCGAGGTCACCTAGGTCATTTTTGAAACCCTATGGTTGCTAAGTGATCCGAGCAGAAACACCAGGAGCAGACATCCCTCACCCCTGCATTTTCTCGACTGTCATTCACCTGCAGCAGCAGGGGGCAGCATAGTTCTGCACATGAATGTTAACAGCAGCCAGGAATCTTGGTAAACAAGCAGAGGCCTGGTAGCCACCACCAGAGATTTCGGTTCTGTGGCTATTGGGTGAGACTCAGGAATCTATATTTTTTATCAGCATCCCCAGTGATTATAATGCTGGCAGTTCTTGGTCTATGTGTGAAACGTACACTGGCATGGGTTCCGACATCCGGCCTGTGTTCACCTTTTAGCTGTGTTGGTGACCCTGATGTGTTAACTTCTTCCCACATGCCTTTGCTCCTCCACAATTACACAGCTGCTCACTACTGGCCTTTCCGGGGGTAAGACTAAATTACTACACACTCGTTGTTCCTGGGTAATTACTTGGGATTGGCTGGTCCTCTGAGATGGATTAAATGTGAGTATCTACACAATGGTAGGTTAAAAAATATATTCCACTAAAAGCATCAATAGGAAAACATTTTAGTTGATGGCAGTGGTCATGGGGTCTTAGTAAATAAATCTTGATGTATAAACCGTATGAGATCTGACCGGGGTAGAAACTCAGATAAAATTTTACAGGTGTGGTAAAATGGCAGAAAGCCTAATGAGGCCCGTGGATGTGTTTATTCTGACCTTTATCTGGAACATGTTGATGATTCACTGGAGATTAGAAAATCCTGGGAACTGAGCCCACTTCCAGTTTAGCCCCATATGGTTTCCCCGCCACATCCCTGCTCTGTGACAGCTTGCCATGAAATGGGGATGGAAAACCAGGAGGAAATGTTAAAACAAGTTCAAAATCAAATGGAGCTTTTCTGGAGAAGCATGAAAAGCACTTTCTAGCTGGCTCCTCCTCCTGCCTGCAGGTGGACTACTGGTAAAGCTTCCTGTGTGGACTTTGCTTCTTTCCTGCTATCAGGGCTACTGAATTGTTCCAGAGAGAGAGAGACTGACTGAAGGGGTGTGTGTGTGTGTGTGTGTGTGTGCGCGTGTGTGAAGTTTTACTCTAGAACACTCTTCACGCGATTACTACTTTTAGCATATGGATAAAGACAGTGCCTATCTCATAGGATTGTTTATAAGCATCAAATGAAATGTTTGCAAGGTATTCAGCTAGTGTCCAATACAGAGAAAGCTAGTACTGGGCAAAGAGTAGCCATTATTATTGAAACCCAAACTCAAAACCTGGCGACTGGGAGATGATGGCAATTAACCTCCTGGCACAGCTACACTCAGTGGGAAATGCTGGCTGCCTCCTGAGTGCAGGATATTTGTTCAGACATCTTCGTTATTGACACCAGTGGGCTCAGGGGTCCTCACGGTGAGGATAACCCTTTCCCACTTCCCCCTCTGCCCCACCCCCATCCAGTGATAGAAAAGGTCACACTCAGCGAGCGCCTCAGAAAATTGGGGGAAACCACTGATCCTTCATCTCAGAACACGCAGTTCAACCTGTAACCCCCAGACCAGAGAAGTCTAGGTTCTCACAAAATGAGGGTGCCACGTGCCCCAGAACTAGAGGTAAGTCTGGAATCGAGGTTTCTCTTGTAATGGACAGGAAACCCCGAGGCAGGGCCAGGAAAGAAAACCAAACAGATAAAAACAAAGCCCAACAAAATGTGACTCAAACCCTCTCAGTGGGCGGTGCTTCTGGGTAGTTCCTCTCCAGTCAGGCTATTAGCAGGCCCTTCCCTCTCTTCTTCCTCAGTGCATCCAGCCTGGCGGCCCTACATAGGAGCTCCCTGGCTACATAGGAGCCGCCTGGCTAGGTGGGAGCCAGCTGGATTTTTTAAGGCCATTTTTTCTGCGGAGAGAGTTACCCTGGGTAGTTATCAGGAGTAACTGCGAAATTGTTAATTTTCAGATGCTCAAATTAACGTTGGATCTTGCATTCTTAATTTTCTTCTGCAAAAGAGCTGATGGCAATCAGGAGACAGCAGGGGGAAAGGCCTGAGAAAGGAATCCCTTGGAACTAAAAGACTAAAATAGCAACACGTACCTTTGCCCACTTCTCGCCTTGGCGGGACACCCTGGGTCGGTGGGAGCGCCCGCAGGCCCCCCGTCAGTGGAGAGAGGCCTGCTGCATCCTAGAGCGGCCTTTGGCTTATCTGAAATGCCCCGCTTCATGGTGTCAGCATTTCTGCAGCCACTGAGGCTACAGGAGACCCCCCAGGTTGGGTGTGAGGTGTTTCATTCCACAGCTCGTGGGGTGAGACAGAAACGGAGGCGGCAGTGCTGTGAGCGCTAGGGCACAGCCACCCCTGCACCCAGAGACCGGCACTGGGAGGGACGCGCGGGCCCCGTGTCTCAGCGAGCGCACTGCGAGGACCTGATGCTCACCTTGTCTCTGAGAAACTGCAGGCCGAGCCAGTGCGTATGGAATGAATGCCTGGCCGAGAAGATAGCCATGGCTCCCTATTTCTTCCTTCCTCACAAGCACTCAGTTCTCACACAGCTTCTCAAGGGGCCTGGGGGCCTTTCCGTGGGCCCCAAGTCTCTGTCACTCCCCCGCTGCAGAAAATCACACCTCTTCTTCCCTCTTTCATAGCCTGGTGCCCAGATACCACTGCCGAAACCTTAACTCCCTTCCTGGGAGCAATCCATTCCCTCTTGAACCTTGGGGACTCTCCCAGGTCACAGCCTCCAGGAAAAAAGCTCCAATCCCACTGTTCCTATCAATGAGCAAGTGGGCGTGCCATCCAGAAAAGCGCGTGAAAACGTGACACCACCTGAGTGTGGGGCGCAGAGTGAAGGCCTGACCTACGGGGGGGGGGAAGCATTTGCCGTCACTTTTGCAGAAGTTGGGCTCCCGACATGGTCGCACAGGCCCTCTTGCCTGGTCCTTCGCTTGCGTAGATTAGCAGAGAGCAAGGGCCTGGCTGACGCAGGTGGGATTTGCTGAAAGCTGTTAAAAATAAATTGTCCAATGGCATGTGCCCAACGTACAAGGTCGCGGCAATACTGAAATAGAAAATTAGGGCATGGGCGTGACCAGCTGTTATTGAGGCAAACGTATTTACAGACCCGAGACCTCCAGTGGGGCGTCCTGGGAGGCTGGGGAGCCCTCTCCACCCACTGTGGGGATGACAGGCATGTGATGGTGAAACACCTTTTCCAGGCGTCACGCTGAGCTCGGTATCATTGGAGGAAGTGCCCGGGAGGCACACGGAGGGAGAGATAAGGAGTCTGGGAGCAGCTGACTGTACTCGTGGGGACACTGCAGCATTGTCCTGAGAGCTCATTACCATTTCTTATATTACTGAGCCTAAGACTTAATTACTGTGCAAATGAATGGAAGATGCATTCGAGTTAAGTGGTATATAAAGCTCACTTTATGTTAGGTACACAAAGGAGATTTAAGACTGCATGTAAAAAGGGCTAGTGTTCATTCACTTCTGGGGTAAAATATTTTTCTGTCCCATTATTTTCTTGTCCCTTCTCATCATTTGAGTATGTTACTTTCCATCTAGAAGCATGTGTCAGACACTTATGATATCTAATGATTGATTTTACTGTTAACAGTGAAGAAAACATTAACCCAATTAAAGTTATAAACAATGTCTTGTTAAAACATGACACCTGGATGGGAGCGTGTGAAACGGAAGGGTTGTGTTGAAGGACCGGAAGCAGAATAAGAAATTGAAAATGATTAAAATACGAAGTCTTTCTGTGGAAGCCGTACCCATTCACTGGGCCAACTCCTCGGACCCAGCCCCGGGGAGCTGGCCCTGCATGAGGAGTCTGGCCACGGCCATGGGAATTGCGAATAATCCTGCCCTTCAGTTCAGGACCCACTGCTATACAGCCCACCCGCTCTTTTCCTGGGTTTGACGTTAATTGCATCTACAACGTGAGGTGCCAACAAATGCAAAAGGCAAGTTTATCAAGTTTGGTGACTAATGCCCCACTTTTATGCCTTTTTATGGAAACAAGCAACGCATCTTTCTTTCAGCAGTCCACTGACTTGGGGGTTCGTTGTGCTGACATTGTCAGGATGCCAATTATATGTCACTGGGCTGGTTTGATTGGCACTCTTTATAATTTAATCAGTTTTAACAGGAGATTTTGTCAATGTCATTTAAATCCTTCAGCTTTCATCATTTTCTCATAACACTAACATTGTCAAGCCACTTATATCTGTTACCTATCAAACTGTCTATTTTTCTTTATAATTAGACAGATAATATTAGTATTTAAAAACATTTGTGAATCACATTGTATGGTAACAGTTCAGTATCTGCCTTGACGAGGAGCAAGGCAGATACTTCTTTTCTAAGTTATGAGTTTGCTAG